TGCTCTCAGTTTTCCTGATAGGAAACTGGGCTGGGAGCCATGTAGAACTGTTTTATTTTCTGCCTTTCAGAGGGGTTAGCGGCCTGTCGCCTGTCTCCTTGGCCATCAGATGGCAGGAGCACTCACATCTGCACGCTGCTGCACCCCAAGACTGAATTTTTCCTGCCTCGCTCCAACCTGTACTCGATCTGTGGGACAGCTGACGTGGACAACAGGATTCAAGTTGAACTCTTAAGGCCATGTTTTCTTTCTGCCAGGCTTGTTCTTGACACATATTTTTTTTTTCCCTAAGATCCTAAATAATTTTCAGCGTCATTTTATCATTCCTCATTTGGCATTTTCAGCCTCTTGAGAGCATTCTAGGATGTTATTTTTATTCATCTTCTCTCCTGTTCCTCCTCCTTTTAAATTGATGCTGGGAATGGAAGTTGTACTCAGGTTTCAGTGCTAGAATTGGGTAAAGAGTGACAGGATTTTTTTTTCCTGTGTAAGAATCATTTATACTGTGATAAAGAATATAGCATTTTGGAGGAAAAAAAGCTTTCAGGAGTAAATCACTATTATTCTTTGCCTATTATAATTTGCAAAAACAAAAGTGCTTCTCTTTCTGATAGCATAGACCTGCCAGCAGCCCACAGCACAGGTGCTTAGAAACATAAGGCTCGTTAATGCCATCTGCCTTGGCTTTCTGACATTCTGGATGGCACTGGCTGTTCCGCCCACTCAAAAACCCTACAGGACTCAGGGGTGCATTCAAAGTTCAGGCTCCAGTTCCCCTTGAGAAGAACTTTTAAATGACCAAGGCACATGAGAGAAATGGCCGCACTGTAGATTAGACAGACACTCATGACCCCTCTACCTGGGATGTGTCCATTTTATCTTGCCCCTCATCATAGTAAACAAGAGTCCAAACTTACATATCATCGAAGACAAGTTTCTGCCTCTTGCAGTCCCTGTGGCCACTGGAGCCTGGAGACCACGGCTCTGTCTGCGGCCGTGACTTGTGGAGGAGAATGTTTTCGGAATTGTTGTGAGCTGCCTTCTAAACAACAAACAATACACATGTCTTTGAGAAATCGGTCACCTGGCTGAAAGACCAACCCATTAAATAGAATATCTTTTGTTCTATAGAATATCTTTGTGTTCTATATGAGAACTGATGGTGATTTTGTTTCAATAAAGAAAAATACATACAGGCATTTTAGGTCTAAGCTGAGGGCTTTCACAGATGTTGTCAAATATCGTTCTTGTAACAATATCAAAAGGGAAGTCTCATTATGCCCACTCTC